CGTGATGGAAGCACTGGGTCATGGCCGGCTGGGTGAGACCGGAGAGCCCAGCATTTCACATGTGGTCTCTCCTGTTACCGAGCAGAACGAGCCCGTCCACCCAGCACTGCTGAGCCAAACACCTGACACTGAGAACCACCGCAGAGAAACCTTGGCCGTTTTATCATGAAAGCCACCAATCAGGAGAGTGGAAGGTGATGCGCCAAAGCCCGAGCTCCGATGGCGCGTAGGGGATGGATTCTGTAGGCAAAGTCCCCAGACACCAGGGTTAGGGGCCCAGGGGATGCTGGGAGCTGACTGTGGGAGGTGAGGGGGTGATGAGTCATTTCTGCAGGTCTGAGGACACTCTGAGATCTGCTCCCGGGTCCCTCTGTCTGGTTTCGTGGGAAAGTAGCCAGAGGGTCATTCCACCTGAAGGCTCAGGAGATGGAACGGAACTCAGGTGAAGATGTGATCATTAGCCTGCGAAGGGCCTGACCTGGGACATTAGTCAGGTCTGGTGCTGTCTTCTGCTGCCTCAGTGGTTGCTGGTTACCCCTGGAAAGGCTAGGTCTCTGAGGGGTAGAGAGAGTTATGATTTCTAGAGCTAGAATTTAAAGCTAAATCCAATCAAAGTCATAAGGTCCCTCAGTTTCTCTCTGCCGCCTCTGTGAACCGCTGCACACACCCGCCAGGTCAGCCTGCAGCAGGCGTCACGGAGCAGAACAAGGAGAGGGGAGCAGAACTGTCCGGTCCTTTTGGGAACGCAGGTCCAGCAGAACCTTCTACAGCCTGTGAGAGCATAGTGCCGATGCCCCACTGTCTCCCTGTCCACCCTCACCTGCTTGTCCTCAAGCCTCATAGCTGTCCTCGGGGTAGAGGTCGCCATTATGACCTTGGATTCCCACCTAGAATTAAGCTCCCATCACCCAGTGATTAATGATCTCGTTATTTGTTAATGAACACTTCTCAGGTGCCTCCACGTTTCCTTAAAGCGTTTACTTATGAGAGACGGCAATCCAGAAGCTGTCCGGAGGTGTCACCCACACCCTGTCCCCTGGGCCTTCTTTGTAAGTCTCCCCTGACCCCTCCTGCCTCTCTGCTCTGGGCATTGCCAGTAAAAGTCAGAGAGACGCTTCTCGCCATGCTGCCCGGTAACAATTTCCCTACGTCTCACTGTCCATCTCCCCTCTAGGCTGGGAGCCATCTCTGATGTTTTAGAGCAGTGGTTCTCAACCTTCCTAATGCCACGACCCTTTAATACAGTTCCTCATGTTGTGGTGACCCCCAATTTCATTGTTACAAATTGAACATAATTAAAGCATAGTGATTAATCACAAAAACAATATGTAATTATATATGTGTTTTCCGATGGTCTTAGGCGACCCCTGTGAAAGGGTCGTTTGACCCCCAAAGGGTCTCGACCCACAGGTTGAGAACCGCTGTTTTAGAGAGACAAGTGCAGTGCCTGGCAAACAGTGGGTGCTCGACACAGCTTGTCCGCTCCATGATCGAATGAACAAAGACCTGGATGGGTGAATAAAGGAGCCGGTAAGCGTGCGGAAAAAAACGCAGAGAAAGACATTCATCAGCTGCACAGCTGGGCAACTGACGATTTTCCATTGACAGACATTTCAGGCTCCACACAAAATTCAAATGCCCTTTACTGCACCGCACAAATCACAGTCCGCACTCCTCACACCGCCCCTGAGAAATGCAGCGGTGGGGAGACCGGACGTGGCCCTCCTATTGACCGCAGCTCTGCAAAAGGAATGAAAAGCTCAGCCTCGAACTCGCCTGTGAAAGGCTAACAGGAAGCACATTCAGCGGGTGCAGCACAGCCCCGGGCCCTTTCACACAGGCCCAGCCACCACCACCACCACGCTCACGGCTCGCCCCGTGACATGTTGCCGTGCCAACATACATTCGGAGTCATCCAAGCAGATTTAATGCCATCGCCACCATGACGCACTCTGGCTGAAAGGGAAGATTCCGACCTACCTAGGGAATTATTTTAATCAGTTTAGTTCCAGAAATCACTATGGAAATTCAGATTTCCCCATTCTGCTGCTTCTGAGCATTACATTGTGACAAATGGCTGATGAAGCCACCGCTTCCCCCACCCCCAACCCTGAGAAATGACATGATTGGCAGCCATTCTGAATCCCACACGGAAAGGTCTAAGGTTATAAGCACATGAAAAGCCAACAAAAAGGAAGCTTTTGAAAATAAGAAAAACACCAAAATTACCCATCGCTCTCCACATACCATACAGATAACCAGGCCTCTTTCATGAGGACAAGTGCTCCCTCCTCGGCCAAGTATCTCAGTCCCTGGGAAGCAGGACCTGAACATTAGATGGAGATCATGTATGCGGTGACCCACAGCAACACACAGGTGAGCGTAACCCATTGGTGGACTTCAGACAAGCCTGAACGCACGAGGTGTGATGTATGCTGATGCTACGTCCTCCCACACGGCGTGCCACTTAAGCACTGGGCCGGATGGACTGAAACACGCAAAAAGCTCGGGAAGTGCTCAGGGACCTCGGTGTGGCCCGCCCGCCACGGTTTCTAAGCACTCGCTTATCCTGTTTTTCGTTCACTCAGCAGTGTTTATTGGCATACACGCTCCCCTTGACCTCCGCAGCTGCCTTTCCAAAGAGGTGGGCAAGTCATTGTGAGGGTGAGCAAACTGAAGCTCACAGTGAAAACACTGCCCTCGTCCTGGAGCTATTGAGAAGCAGAACTGAAGCGGTCACCCGGGCTTCGGGTGCCGCCCGGCCATGGACCACGATGCTCTTGCTGGGGACTTTTAAAGGGAAGATGGTAAACATTAAATCGAAAGTTCAAACCACACTTAAAGTTTGACTACCATTTAATCTGCACGTACCTTTTTCATGAGCACATCTTTTATGTAAACTGTTAATGAACCAAACAAAATTCTTACCGTTGAAATATTCAGGCACAACGAGAATATTGGTATAGATCTCATCCATATACCCATGCAGAGGCTAGGGGCAAAAAAAATGAGGCCCTAGGGACCCCGGGATGTACCCCCAGCCCTGAGATTGTGGAAGTTCCTGCTCAGAGCACATCGCAAATGTGATGAATACCATCCAGAATTCTGTCTAAATGGTTGGCTTTATCCTAGAACTGGGTCTCCCAACCTCAACTCTGGTGACCTTTGGGGCTAAGGAAGCCTTTGTCGTAGGCCTGTCCTGTGCAGCGTGTCCAGCAGCACCCCTGGCCTCTCCTCACTAGATGCCAACAGCACCCCACCCCGAGTGGAGACAACCACAAATAGCCCCAGACATTCCCAGGTGTCCCCTGGGGAACAGTCACCCCCGTTGAGACCACTGTCTGAGGCAGATGTTTCTTACTCCTCTAGTCACTTCCCACAGGCAGAGGGCTGTCACTTTATTTCTTTGAAATGCACTGTTTCTTGCAAAGCAAATGCATTCTGTGCTGAGAGACTGTGGACAGACAGGTACAGCCTGAGCACGCAGTGGTGTGTCCTGGCACCCTGGGGGCGGCCTACAGGGACTGCAGGATTTGATCATCACCGTGACCCTAGGAAGCAGGTACTAGCACATCTGGCTTAATAAACAAGGAAACTGAGGTTTCACCAAGTTCCCCAGGACATTCATAGTGACGGCTCTTTGGACCACACACTCAGCTGCCCACACTCCAGCAGCCCCGGATTCTAGGAGATGGACTGCAACATTGTGACCCAGTCCCTGGGTAGGACCGTCCTGGACGTGACCATGGACATCATCTCCAGGAAACGTGTGTTAGTCACATGGAGGGTAACGAATCCGCATGTGCGCGTGTGAGAGTGCAGAGGTGTGTTAGGTAAGTAGACTCTGCTGGCACTGTGTGAAGTTGGGCCTTCAACAGCCACCCAGAAGGAGAAAGCAAAACAGCCCTGCAAAAGCAAACTGCCTGCAATGAGTCCATTTCCTCTCACGCCTTCCCCAACCCGAATCACTGGGTATCAGGTTGCTGGAATGAAGATCTGGGATCCTAGCAGGCCCTGCGTGTGCGTGTGCCATCCAGGCTGTGGAGGAGCCTCCTCGGGAGTTCCCGTGCTGGGGGCAGTGGGGGGAAGTATTCCATAAAACTAGATAGGCCCTTTCAAGCTCTTAACCATCGCCCCAGAGAACTGAAATCTCAGTACCTGTGTCCACCCAGAGACATCGCTGAGCTAGGAGCAAAGCCCGTACCTCCAGGGGGGAGCTGTGGGGATCTCCCTGCAGCCAGCAACTATCCCCTCACCCCATTCGGTGCACATTCACAGCTCCTGGTCCCAGGCCACCTCTACGTGGGCAGATAGCTGCTGTCTGTGCAAATCGGTCCCGTCACCCTGGACATGATGAGGGAGCATTGGCGAGCCAGGCCTTCTCTGAGCTCCTGCCCAGACGAACCTGCGGCCGATGTCTCTGCCACTGCTGTGGCCCATGTCTAGTGGTGAGGGCTCAGCCGAATCGGCCATTCTGTGCTCTTTCTAACTAGCAATGTAGGTTGATTTGGTAACTCAGTCATTGCATGGCCTCAAGAACAAGGTCATTGATGGGCTAGTCTTTAAATGAAGAGATTTTCATGAACAGAGGAAGGAAATAAGGCTTTAAGTCACAGAACCCTAGCAAGGAAGATTCAAGGGCCATGATGTGTAGCCCTGGGGACCCGTGAGTGCTGCGCCCTGAACCCTTTGGGCCAAGAGCAGTCGGGAACTTTCTGGTACCAACTTTGTCTGGACAGCTGCACCTCCCAGCCACCTCCACTCCTTCAAACATGTTATGTGAAATTTAAATAAATTTTTTAAAAAACTCAATGCATTCAAATGTTTTTTCTATATACCATTTCACCCAAGTTGGCATCATTTGGTGTTTTGCCTTTATGGTAGTACTCTTTTAAAAACATATTCATTATATGTTGACCTGTATATCCTGTGTATTTGTAAGTTATTATCATACATGCCACCTAAATGCCAAACATGTTTTTAAAAGAGACTCAAATGCCTTTTTTAGGAAAAACAAAATGATCTTTATTTTTAAAACAATAACTTACAGGTTGAGCGAATTCTCTGACCTACGCTGTTTGCTTTATGCACAGCGTTGAAGCCTGGAACAGTTTTGCTTTTTTTGTTTGTTTGTTTTATTTCAATATAAGTTTACAGATACTATTAATGTCAGAAACTGCATTACAGAGCAGTTCTCGTCGCACACCTCATGCCAGTACAAAGCGCCACCCAGATAGAAAACTGTCGTAAATAAAACATTTCCACCGAGGCTGGCATAGATGTATATATTTATATATTTATATATAATTTCACAACAGCTAACAGTCAACGTCATCCATAGTCAAAACCGAAGTCAAGCTAATTAAAACTACAACACGATTACATGTCAGCGTTATACTTCCCATACAGCATTTAAAATATTTAAACTTTCTGATACATTTATAAGGTATGCCAAAAGTGAGAAAATAAAGTTTTAGCATTTAAATACAAATCACCATAGAAAACCTTCAGGAAACACAGAGAGTCCTACTGTACAGAAGTGCAGGCAGGCCCCTCTGGCCACCGGCTTTGACAAGTGGCATCGGCTGGTGGCACAGCCCTGCGTGATGCACTGTCAGGGTCACAGTCACGTGACGGCCACGCAGGCATGAGAGAGGCGGGGAGGAAGCACAGTGCACGCCTCCCCCTCGGCACGCTGCTCCTGTCTTAAGCCCCCAGGCAGCTGGGAGCCCTGCTGAAAGCAAGCACACGCATCCCGAGACTGGGCCTCACTTGGTGTTTTGCTCCAAAGCGGAGTACTCTGTTTCCGACACCCGGGAGGCATCGATGAGTTTGGTGAGGCCTGTTTTGGCCGAGTACTTGAAGATGAAGGCCTTCATCAGCTCGTACCTGTAGTTGCGGTTGATGAAGCTGTAGAGCACAGGGTTGACACAGCAGTGCACCAGGGACAGGCACTGTGTGATGTGTAGAGCCGAGAAGAGGAAGTTCTCCAGCTGGCAGGTGAAGGGGATGTAGTGCAGGATGGAGCAGACGTCCAGGAGCACCACGACATGGTAGGGCAGCCAGCAAACCAGGAAGACCACCACGTAGGAGAAGATGATCTTCCGGCTGCTGTGTGTCTCCTGGTCGCCGGAGGCCGAGAGGGCTCGGGCCAGGAGGAAGTAGAAGATGGCGATGATGCAGAAAGGAATGACAAAGCCCAAGACCACAGACATCAGCTCCATGCTGATCAGCCACTCCTTGACGCTGTGCTCGGGGTAGAAGGACCGGCAGTAGGTCTCATTGTTGGATGCTGACGTGACAGTCTTCAGGTAGTAGGTGTCGGGCAGGGACACGCAGAAAGCCAGCAGCCACACGAGGACACAGACGACACGACGAACCACCTTCTTCCTGTGGCTCGAGGTGTTGGTGAAGTAGGTGATGGACAGGTAGCGGTCCACACTCATGCAGGTGAGGAAGAAGATGCTGCCAAAGAGGTTGATGGAGAAGATGAGGTGAGAGATCTTACAAGTGAGCTCACCCATGGGCCACTGGTTATGCTGCACAAGGCTGACCACCCAGACCGGGATGGTGACCACCACCCACAGGTCGGCGATGGCCAGGTTTAAGATGTAGCAATGCGTGTCATAGCCAGTGGTCTTGGCCTGGATGTTCACCCAGACCACCACGGAGTTGGCAATCATGCCGATCACGAAGATGAAGATGTAGATGAAGGACAGTGTGTAGAGCAGAACGCTCTTGTTGGCCATGTTGGGGCACGTCATGGTGTCGACCACGATGCAGTCGCTGCTGTTGCATGGCCAGCTGATGTCGGAGAAGTTCCCTGGTTCTGAATAGTCGAACAGATGCAAATCCATGGTGTCGAGGGCAGCGATCAAGTGGCCTGCACGAAAAAAATCAAACCAAAAAGATGGAAGAGAAAAATCGCTTCGTTAGGAAACATTCAAGTTTCAGTCAAAATGCTTTTTCAGCGCCAGTACACGCAACTGTTTCACTCGGGTTCTGTAGAATTTTTAAAGAAAACAACCATAGCAGAACCCCGCAAAACAAAATCAAACACACCCAGAATCTAAAGCCACATGGTGCTCAAAGACACAGTGCTTGCTTTCTCTATCTTTCCATGGCTGTGTTTGTAAGACATCGCCAGCCTGGCTGTGCCCAGGGTGTGAAATCAGCACAATCCAGGGGCCAGAGAAATGTCAGGCAGCTGATGCGGATGGCCGGCTGTCTCTCAGTGGACAGTGGACGCATTTCACCTACACCCAAAAAAAATGGCAGAATTGATCTGTTTCTTACCAGTGCCCTGCTCTGGTATCTCAATGAAATTGATTCAGATTCTCTTCCAAATTTGCATTAAAAATGGGACTGGTGCTTTTCACCCGTCTGCAAAATCAGCACATAAACCCAGGTCTCCTGCCGCCCCCATCTGCAGACGTGTAGACCCCTGGAAACGTGGTCAGCATGCCGAGCACCCTGCAGCCTGACCGAGCTTCAGGCCCGCAGACTCTGGTGTTGCTGTATGATTCCCAACCCAGGGCGCCCAAGCAGCTGCCTCAAGCGCTGGGCCAGCACCTGGCTTCCCATCTTTTATCTGCCCAATTGCTTCAAGAGCAATGTGTGCCAAGACCCGAAGCACAAAAATCACCGCCAGCTGCCTTCCTGGAGGGGCCGACGAGTTTCTCAACTGTCTTTCCCGCTGACCTGACGTGAGGCCAACTCTGAATTGTCCCCATGTAGCACCCACGGAGGATCCAGCCCAAGATACCACTGTGCTTGGCAATGATTCCTCCACGAATTCATCAGCTATGGGAGCTGCCAGGGCCTGTCTTCTACCACTGCCCTGTCCCCCCGCAGGGCCCTGAAATCCTTCCATGGCATGGCCCTGGGTCCGCATGACTATGATAGAGACGTAAAATGAAAATAAGTACAGGCCGTGGTGAGGGTTAGGTGCTGGTGCTTCCTTCTCACCTGTCCCAGGTAATAACTGACCAAGTCAAGTTTATTTGCCAAGTGGACTCCAGGTCACACATGAGAACTCCCTGGGGAGGGAAGTCAATGGTCCATCCGTGGGTCAGTGCCCTGGTGGCCACGCTAACGGTATGAAGAGATAGCTGGGAAAAGCTCCTCCCTCCCCCCGTCCTGCCCCCCCACTCCCCATCCGGGATGGGATTCTGGCTCCTCACTAACCTGAGACAAGTTAACCTGTTTTCCCACTACTTCTCAGGACACGGGTGCCTTGGAACTAAAGACCCTAAAGCAGAATCTAACACATAGCACATGCTCGCTAAAACTTCTCCCTGCCCTCCCCCTCCCTTTAGTGAAAAGCATACCCTTGCTTAGTTCTTGTTGCATATTTGAAGCTGACTCTTCCAGGCAAAGTAATCTGTGTCCCCGCCATGGAGACATGCAGGAGCTAACACAAAGACGCGCAGTCGGTTCACCTCTGGGATAAATGGACAGAGTCCCCGAGAAATGAGACTTTCTGCTGCCTCCCCGGGCCAGCTGGCTCCTCAGCCTCAAAACCCAGGGCAGGCAACCTACCCTTGAATCCTAGTCACCAGAGGCTGCCTGCGGGCTTCTGGGAGTTCTCCCCTTTTGGGCTGTAAGAGGCAACTGGTTCCCCTCCAGGTGACCTACCCAGGTCTCAGTGTCCCACTGCTGATGGAGGAGCTCAGACAAGCCACAGCCAGGCAGCCAGACAGAGGTGGGTTGGGTCCTGGGACCGGAAAGCCACTCGGCTGGTGCCTGGCTGGGGCTCCTTCTCCGCCCGCATTGGCACAGCCTACAAGGCCTCAGCCACAGCCATAAATCCTGGGGTTTGGGCCGATCACAGGGGCCTTTGTTAGCCTGAGCAGATGCCAAGTTCCCCCATGTCTTTCTTCACCCCAGGAGACACCCAGCTCACTCAGGCATGGACAGACAGACCTACTCACGGGCAGGGGTACAAAATCAGGGGACACCTGTCTCTTGTGTGCAGTCCCCAGGAAATCAACAGGCAAATGCATCCTTCTGGGCCCCTCCATTCCCCTGCACCTCTCGCTGCTGCCAGAGGGTTTCCTGCCTCTGCCGGCTGGGCAGTGAAAGGCTGATGCAGTGACCACGGTCACTCATGACCAGGCACACCTCCCCGCAGCCGTCCTCTCCCGGGTGGCACAGTGGGGATCGTCCAGCAGTGGGTGGACTGTGAAGTTCAGCTGCCCTGCTGATCGCTGATCATTGATCACTGATTACTGATCACCAATTAGCCCAGGAGGTGAAGCCAAAGGCCCACGTGCCTTCTTCTGGGAACCACAGTGCCCCCACCTCCGCCGCAGAAGGCTCTGGTGGTCAGAGCAGGAAGGGAAACACAGAGAAAGGAGGTGGGAAACAGCACAGCCATCAAATCCTCCGCAGAGTCAAATGGGAAACCGGGCGGGGAAATGCCACCCAATCGCTTAGCCTTTGCCATCTCGGTATTTTTCATGCATTAAGTGTGGGGAGCCAGGGGTGTGTCCAGAGAAAAGACTATGATTTGGCTCTGTTGTGTGGTGTGTACTCTCAGCAAGGCCCGGGTGCTGAGCCTGTGTCTGGGAGGCCTGGCGTGGGGGTGGGGGGGCAGGGCAGGCTCATTTCATGCCATTACACTGACAGCGTGGACCCCACCAGAGAACAGAATCTGCCTAAATCATTGGCTTAAGTTTTAACAAGGGAGGCTCTCAGAGCCTAATATGAACAAAGGCATGAAACGCAGACGATGAACTGTCTACGCAGATGCCTGTTTAAGGCCTGGCCACTAAGTGCCCAGCAAAGTCTGAGGGTGGAGTAAGGGAAGGAGCAGCTACTGAACTCCTGTGGCCACATGAGCTCCCTGACTACCTGCACGGCATCTCTGCTCCACTCCAGCCAAAGCAGGGGGACCCTTGTCCAGGACACAGAGCTGAGAGCCCCGGTGTACACGTGTGAGCGCCTCTGCACTGGCCAGTGCAGCTGCTCTGCTTTGCTGGGAGGCAGAGGTGGGGCTGGTAACCACCAGGACCTGGAGGTGATGCCCTCACCAGCCTCGGAATGAACCAGCCATTCTTGGGGCTTGCCTGGGTCCAGCCCCAGGGGTTCCCAAAGGTGTGGATGGAGTCGGCGAAGAATGTTTAACACGGAGACAGTGTTCAGAACTCTCTTGCTCTCTTTAGTCTCTGTGGATCTTCCTGTGCCTGGCTGAGGCCACAGAGAAAGACCCCGAGGCAAGCTGAGCCTTTATTTTATAGTCAGAGGTAAACAAGGTAGTGGTTTCCATAGTTATACTGTTCTTGTGAGTTTCACTTGTTTTGACCATAGTTACACTGTTCTTGTGAGTTTCACTTTTTTTGTTCTTGCTGCACTTCCCTCAGCCCATTAGCTTCCCAGATAAGATCTAGGGAGCTCCTAAGGTGAGGCCTAATTATGCTTAAGAGGACTATGCCCTCTAAGCTGGGACTTGTTTGTGACTTTGCCAGCAGGTCAGTCCCAGGCTTAATGCTATATCGGCTCCCCACAGGGGCTGAAGTTTAGGAACAACTTCATGGTGTCAGTCAAAGCTACCCATTGCCTGCACCCTGTGACTCTGAGCCCACTCCAAAGAGGGGCCAGGGCATGAGCCCCACTGCAGACACTTAGGCTGTCAGGTGTTCCTAAAAGGAGGAAAAAAATGGGCACAGAATAAAGGATGTTTCCAGTTCCATGACCTCATAGTGCACACATTCCTCCTCTCGAAAGATTCGCATGTTCCCAAGTGTACACGCAAGAATGTTTATGGACGTGCAGGTTACATGCTAGTAAAATCTGAAGGCAAAAATGCCAATCAATGGAGAAATGGTTCAATAAATCCAGCGTATCCACTGTGGAATATAATTTAGCTATGAAAACAAAGAGGAGACCGACTCTTACGAATGTGGAAAGTTACTATGCTGCTCGGATCCGCACACATACACAGAGCACGGTCTCTTTCATGTAAAAAGGGGCAAACATTATGTGTATTTTTATATTTAAATGTCTGTGCTTAAAGGCACAAGAACAATCACATTATGTATAAAACTCAGGGCCAGGAGGGTGGGGCGAGAGGACAGAGCTGGGATTGCACTTTTGACACGATAAACCTCTGACTTATTTGAAACCTGACATTAAGAATTATGTAAATTTTAATTAAAAACTATGAATTGGCAGCTACAAAACAGTCATGAGGATATAAAGCACAGCACAGGGAATATAGTCAATAATATTGTAATAACTGTGGATGGTGCCAGGTGGTTGCTAGACTTATTGGGGGGATCACTTCATATGTTATATAAATGTCTAACCACCGTGCTGTACACCTGGAACTCATATAATATTGGATGTCAACAGTAATTGAAAAATAAAATAATTATGTAAATTTTAATAGAGGCAGGAATGTTTCAGAAAACAATAAAGTTCACATTCCACGTTTCTGGACCACAGACACCTAAGTGAGAACAGAAAGCAGTAAGGTTGCTGTCCCTTCCCTCTTTCCTGACACTTCCCATGTTTTATCTCACGAGTCTCCTAGAGCCCACGAAGTTCTCGTCCCACACCTGCACTTGGACACATGGCACATCTGCCCCAAGGGACAGTGGCTCGTCCTGGGCCTGCAGAGGGCCAGCATCTGCCACCCTCCCTGTCTGGGGTCTGCAAGGGCCTCGTCTACTACTGATGTCCCACATGGTGGAAGGGCTCCTCTCTGTCCCACAAGAACGTCCCTGGGGACGTGCCTCTCACTTCTCAGGCTCATTATTCTCCCACCAAGTATCCTTGGCAACCAGTGAGCAGCAGCCAGTGGCCTGAGGTATTCAGCTGCATCCAAATGCTTTGCCTAAGCTCACCCGGGGGGCGGGGGCAAGCCAGAATCAGAGGCCTCTAAGCTTAGCGTCCCCACGGGGTGGCGATTTGTGCTGCAGCAAACTGTCCCTTCTCGGCCAACAGTCACTCCCTCCAGGATGGACTGCCAAGTGTTCAGGGTCTGGCTAGGGTTCACCTAAATCATCTTCAATATGTTTGCAATTTCCCATCACAGACCAAAAGACCCTTCCCGACTAACCCCTCAGCCCCTCCCATCCCAAATAACGCGTCCCCTGCTTCTCCGGCCTTCTCCCACCCAGGCCGGCATCTCCATGCTGCGTCCTGGCCTGGTGTACATTTCTCCTGCCACCACATCATTCACCCTCAGACACGCCTGCAAAGTCGCCTGGCCCAAAGCCGATGTTCAATGAATCAATAGTCAATGAATCAGTAGTTCATCAAGCCCCACTGAGACCAGAGATCTGAGGCCATCACTGGAGATGGGCATCCAGAAGCGACTGTTCTGAAATCCCCACTTAGAGGAGATACCATCCCCCCTTTTCATGCCCCCAAATGTTTGTGGAGCCTCCTCTGTGGGGGCTGTACTCTGGGGCACAGCAAGCCAGCATGGTCACCGCCCTGCCCCCAAGGGCTCACCAGCTCACCTAGAGGGCCAGGAAGCAAGGGTCGGGGCCACCCTGGGGCAGGAAGTGAGGGATTTCCACTCCCGAGGCCTATGGGGCCTTCAGGGAGAAAGGAGAGGGTCAGCGAACCTGGCTGAATAGCTGGAGGCAAGAATCAGGACTTGGTGGGGGTGAGGGGTCAGGCTGGGCCCGTCCCTGCAGAAGACACAAGGGTTTTGAGCAAGCAAGTGGCTTGGGTGCAGAGAAGGCTTCTAAGGATGGAAGTGACACAAACCGGGTAGGCTTGCGGTGGCAGGGTGCAGAGCAGGCTGGAGGCAGGACACCTCGGGGAGGAAGCGCTCCCAGTCTCCAGTGGGGCAAGTAAGATATGGCAGGCGAGGCAGGGTCTTGGGCACCTCTCAGTCACAGGGGCCCCTGGCCCTCTGGCCCTTTCAGGACCTCTGCCTATGGGGACCTTCTATAACAGCTTCCTGCGATTTGGGACGGTGTCCTCCCAGAACTGAAGTTTGGGGAGCAACTCAGTGCTGTCCCCAGAGGAGATCACCTGGAGACTGAGGCAGGGCAGGAGAAGGGGCCAGCTACCTCTCTCCCAACTCCTCCAGGGACTTTATCCGGGGGAACCGTGCTCGGGCCTGCTGTAAAAGGCCACCCCTCTAAACGGCGCCTAGATGAGGAGGATCCGCTGGGCCTAGAGAACCATTAGGCAGCTGCACATGACAGGTTTGGTTTTCATTTTGGAGATTTTTGTTACCAAACCCGCAGTAAATCTATGGGGCAGTCCCGGAAGGCTTCAGCCCCGGCAGCTCCTGTGGCCAGAGCTCACTGCGGTGGTCTGTCCCCCAGTCCCAACAAACAGAGAACAGTGCTGACTGGAACACACACACACACACACACACAGAGTGACCCTGAGTGACCATCGTCTACACAAGTAAAGAACTGCTCTGAATGACTTGAGAACTGGAAAAATAATAGAGAGAAAGAAGGAAAGCAAAGGCCATACCCTAATTCAGGTATAGACCACCTATTCCGGGGGTCCTCAGTCATGCATCATGTTAACTCTGGGGGCACCCTCATCCACTTAAGTACTGGGGGATAAAATGAACCCCACATCCAGAAACCCGATCTGGCCTGCTGTGCTCAGCTGCCCGACAGGGAAGTGGAGTTGCACCCAGCAAGGCAGACCCAGAGGCCCCGAGTCACAAAGGCTGCCGCCTGGGTTGGCCGAGTGTAACTAGAGCCCTAATTCCCACCCAGCTTAGGACTGGGTCCAGGCAGCAGGAGGTCAGCCAGGCTGAGCCACTCACGGCGCCCGGCACACACAATGGGGCTCCCAGGAGAATGCTCCACAATCTCAGACTCTTCTATTCAAACTGAGACAGATCCCCACAAAAGGTCCCCACGCTGCCCCTTAGCCAATAGCAGGTCAAGGCCACCTGGGACAGTCACAGCTCCACCCTTCGGGCACTTGGAAAACACAGGTCAGCTTACAAACCTACTCCTGGCTCAGCAAAATTTTGGCTACAAAATTATGCAATTCCCCCATCACTTTAATAACGAAGCAATAATGGGCTCCCCTCCCCACTTCCAATTCTAAATTAGTAGATTCTTACATTAAAAAGCATGCAATACCCCTGCAGAGAGCATTCAGGTAGTCCAGATTAGAGAACCATCCCTGTTTCTTTTTCCTTTTTTTTTTTTTTGGTTGTCATTATTTTAATAGCAAATATGTGTCCTGGAGCTATAATTTTCTGGACTTTAAGTACAGTTTCTAAATTGCACCTGCCCACTTGGAAGGCATTCTAGTACCATTTTTGTTCCCAAGAGTAAAATTAAGTTTCTCAGTTGCCTAATTTAAAAGTGCAAATACTTTTCAGCTCCCAATTCCGCTCATGTTCTGCAAAATCACGGGGGAAAATCTCGCCCTGAAATCGTTAAGGTTGTTTTCCTTCCCGTCGGTTACTCTCAGGGTTTAGAGTGACTCTCGGCCTCAGGTTTGAAAAACTGCCACCAACTTCCCTGGTGTTGCCTGGAAAACAGGAACCTCTATAACTGGAATAATCAC